CTTGTGGCATCCAAGGTGCAGCTGGACATCAGAAAATAATATTAACAAAAATGGAAAAAGACATGAAAAGCAAACATGAATCACTTACGGTCAAAATTTCATTTTTCAAGAAACGACATCTTTTCCTCCGGGATAAGATCACGAGTCCTCACTCGAATATATCGACCCATCCAACCTCGATCCTTATCTTCATCGATGCTCGACATCAAAGCCTTCGATGCTCGACGATGTAGCCTAATTAGTACACGATAAATCTGAGGCCGATACAGTCGTATAAGGTGGTTCAGAGAAAAATCCAACCCTCCGGCTTTGATAGAGAAGAAACGCAATAAGATGACTATACGCCATAAGGAAGGATGAATTTGGCCGAGGGTGACCTGATATCTCCTGCAGAAATCAAAAATCACGGGATCGACAGCTCCCAACGTAAAGGGATAGGTGTAAACACTTAAAAATACTTCCACGTAGGTAGTGACGCTCTCATCGGAGGATGGGATTTGTAACACAACCTCAGAACCCCAACCGCAGTCTTTTCTGACGTCCTCGAGGTGAACCTCCGCTATAGAGCACGTATACATCGATACGTGCTCACACCGACCCGGAACGGATGAAGGGTTTTCCACCCTAAAATCAGTTTTTAAAATACACGGGCCGGGAATATAATCTTGAACGGACGGCTCCGCCGGCGCCTTATCGTCACACGGCCGTGAGGAGGAAGCTTTCTCCTTGTGAGGTACGATTTTTGAAGTTTTTGCCATCAATATGAGAAGAAAAAGTCGCAAAGGAAGGTGAAAGAGGGGACATCACCAAAACTCTGGTATAAGCGGCACTAAGCAATGAAATAGAGAAAATAATCAAAGGGAATTTGGGAAAAGAGGAAGCACAAAAGTGGAAAACATTATATGGGAAAACTATTTATAAGGCATGGCAATTTGTTTCTAGCGGTGGCCGACCACCGACTGACACACATTAAATGCCTCGATAAAACCAAATCGATGGGACAACTATCATGCACGTCATAGTCAAAGTCGATAGAAACGTCATCATTGATTCGGTCAAACCTTAGGGAAGTCACATCGTTTCTCGTCATCTCCTTTCCAAGAAACGAGGGGGCTATCTGTATACGATTAAAACCGATCCTCAATTATAAAGATCGATCGAGGATGGCATCTCAGTCAAGGGGTATCTTCATGGAGAACCCGAACGAATTTCGAGATGGGGGCGTCGAGCTCGGGGCATCCGAATCGACCAAGGTAACATCGACCGATACAGGTCCTGAACATCGATGCCCAAAAGTGATTACCAAGCTCGAAACCAAGGCCGAGGTTCTGATCCGACACCGAGCTCGAGTCAGTATCGAGCTCACAGACAAAAAGCTGTTACAACCGCACCAAAGGAGAGAATCTTGGCGGGAATTAAGGAGGAGATACACCATCATGGGTCCTCCACTAGTAATATTATTCCATTATGTTGTTATAGATAAAGTAGTGATCCTTGGCTATAAAAGGCAAGATAGATTGTAATGGAAGACATCTTCCCTGGGATTAAGAATTCATTGTGTTTATCTTTCTAAAGCTCACTAAGTATCTTTGTTCATCATTTTCTATTTTGCATCATAAATACGTGTATTGTTATCTTCAGATCAAAGCAATCTGCTTACCCTTAGAACCATACATAAATTCAACATTATCCGATTTTTCGGGTAAATAATATTAGGGTTTGAATTGCATTTAAACCTATTAGGTTACATTATGTTAACTCTTTCGGACTCAATTACGTACTGATAATTTTGGATTCAACTCGGATCATAACCCAAACTGCTTACATTTGGGCGAGTTGGATGAGTATCTAAACAATTAGTTGATTCTCTCATAACTTAATGGGATATTATTAAATAACCTCAACTAAATGTTGCACCAGTTATATTTTATCTCATCATGCAGTCAATCAAATATTGTATTATTTTATACATAATTTTATGTTGAGATTAATTATCCAGTACTCTTAACCAAACGGCCTAGCTTAAGAAAAATATAAATTAAATTTGGTAATTGCAATTTCTTAAGAAATTATTGATTCTTTAACCTCTTTAACGCTCCACCTCCTAATAAACTCTTTCGCTTTCAATAGTGTGGAGGCACTAGTGTACATCCCATAACAATTTTATATCAAAGATATACAGACTATGTATGCAAATCAAGCGTTCTCTCTGGATCGTATATACATTTTTTTATTGAATAGATGGTAGTTTAATTTGTTCAGTTCTTGGTCAGTATGCTGGTTATATTTTAATGGCATCTAACATGCATGCATCATTATATTACTGGACAAAATACAAAATTGAGTAGAAATGACACCATATAGCCACTCTAAAGGTCTGTTATTTAGGAGTTCCTGAATTTCAGTTTATTATTTCAAATTTTCAGGACAAAAATGTCCTAAGTTGTCCTAAAATTAAGATTTTTAGTTCAAAATTTCAGGACAAAATAAGCACTGACTACTCTCTAAATAACATCCATGAGAATGGCTATATGTGCATTTGCCCCCAAAATTGACCAGTCAACCCAAATTAATTACATTCACTAGCCAAAAAGTATATAAAATATGTATATCATATGTACATGATACGCACATATATATACAAAAGGTATACACATATATTCATAACCTCTTCTTTTTCTTCCCAGTCATCTTTAGTTGGCTGTTACAATATAGAAATTTTCAACTGTCTTTAGTTTGTTTCTTCGTTTGTGCCTTTTAATTTGTGTAACAGCCGAATAATGTATTTATTGCGGTTTCACGGGGTACAAATTCGTCCGGGGCGGATACATCTTGTTCCATGCGATTGTCACGGGACACAACTTCGTTGATTTTTTTTACTGATATGTATAAAAAAACAAATACCCCTTATCCTGATCTTACCTTTAACTTCCAGGTAGCAATATCGTTGCTCGTAGGGCATGCATTGGCAATCATTTTCTTCTCTTTTTCACAACCAAGAATATACAGTCAAACTAGAATCACCTGCTCATCAATTCATTCTTATACACACATGGGAGTTTCTTATGAGTTATGACTAATCTATATTATTATAAAAGTGAAAATCTCAAATGTAAAAGTTGAATTACTAAAATGCCTTTTTGGATAATTTAAATACTTTATTTTAAAAAAAAACATGCCACTTATGAAGAACTCTAGATTCTACTCTTAGCTATGGCGATGAAAGCTGAGAAGAAACAGAGGAAAGCAAAGGAGCAGTTGTGCTTTTGTTACTGTATAACTGCATAACAGAAAAAAGGAAAGCTACTGTACATTTATACTACTAAACTACTTAACCGCCTAACTCTCTATTACTTAACTCCTAACTACTGACTAACCACACTACTAACTTATTACATATAATTGGTTGTACACAGCTGTCAATAGCTCTTGGTTCAACACCCTTCTCAAGCTGATGGTTGAAAGATATCTTTCAGCCTCAGCTTGGACATTAAGTAGTCATGCTGCACTCGACCAATGCTCTTTGTTAGGAGATCAACCTGCTGCTCTTTGGTGGACACATGGTGTGTTTTGATCAGTCCTTGTACTATCTTCTCGCGAACAAAATGACAATCAATATCGATGTGTTTGGTCATTTCATGAAATATAGGATTGGCTGCTATTTGGATAACAACTTTACTGTCACAAATAAGGGTTATAGGTAACTCAATTTCCACACCTAACTCCTTGAATAGCCCTGTAAGCCAGGTAAGTTCAGCAATTGCTTAAGTCATGCTCCTGAACTCTGCCTCTGCAGAGTTTCTAGCCACTGTTTCTTGCTTTTTTGATTTCCACGAAATTAGTACATCCCCAAACTTCACCAAGTAACTTGTAACTGATCTTCTAGTCTGTAGACAACCTCCCCAATTTGAGTCACAAAATCCTTCTAGTTTTCCTGAGCCTATAGATGGCATTACAAGACTAAGTCCCGGAGAACCTTTGATATATCTTACCACTCGTAATGCAGCTTTCATGTGTGACTGCTTTGGTTTGTGCATGTATTGGCTTACAACTTGCACTACATTAGCAATATCAACTCTAGTCATTGTGAGGTAGAGTAACCTGCCTATTAGTCTTTGGTATTTTCCAGCATCAGCTAGTAACTTGTCTTATGTTTCAGAAGAAGATTGATCATGAACAAACTTGTCATATTCTTCATATGTGAGTTTTACATTTGCTTCCAAAGGTGTACCAACTAGTTTTGCACCACTGAGCCCCATTTTGCAATGAGTTCCAAAGCATACTTTCTTTGACTCATCACAATCCCCTTAGATGATCTAGCAAACTCAATTCCAAGAAAGAACTTGAGTTCACCTAAGTCTTTCATTTTGAACTTGAGTTTCAAATCATTTCTGGTCTGAAGAATCAACTTTTGGCTACTCCCATTTACAAGCAAATCATCCACGTAGACAAGCACCACTATTAACTCAGACTCCACTTTCCTGGTAAATAGTGAGTAGTCAAAGTGACTCTGAGTGAAGCCAAGATGTAGTAAAGCATCTGTTAGCTTTTTATTCCATTGCCTGGGAGCTTGCTTAAGTCCATATAAGGACTTATGAAGTTTGCAGACACTGTGCTTCCCCCTGGCTAGCAAACCCTAGAGGAACCTCCATGTAAACTTCTTCAAGTAGGTCTCTTTGGAGAAAAATATTGTGTACATCTATTTGAAAGATGGTCTAATACTTGGCTGCAGCAATGGCTAGAATAGACCTGACTGTAACCATTTTGGCTATAGGAGAGAAGGTCTCAGTGTAGTACAACCCCTCATGCTGGCTATACCCTTTGTTGTACCTTTCTACTGCACCTGAGGAGGTATATTTGACTTTGAATACCCATTTACAGCTAATAGGAACTTTCCGTGGGGGAAGATCCACCACTGTCCAGGTGTGATTGTCCTCCAAAGCTGATATTTCACACTTCATTGCCTCAATCCACTTTGTATCTTTTACTGCCTTATTGTAAGTTTTAGGTTCCACAATAGCTGAGTAAGTAGCTAATGCAGCTTCAAAAAGAAAGTGATACATTGGCATAGCTGACACGGTCTGATATAGGATAACAACAATGTGCACTCTCTTTGCTAGGAACAATGTAGTCTTTCATCCATATAGGTGGTCTACTCACCCTGATGGACTTTCTGGTATCATCTTGTGGCTCAATACTAGGAGCTATGGTAGGAATAAGAGCATCATTGACTTGGACATGATCAGTAAGACCACCAGCAGGTGAAAGATGAATAAAAGGCACAACTGAATCAGAAGAGACAAGAGAGAAAGGAGAGGAAGAAGGTGTGGACTGAGCAGGCAAAGTCCATGAAGCATCTGCAGGAATAGTTGATGAAACAATAGTGAAATCTAGAATAGGGAATAAGGTTGAGCTAGTAGAACTCATGTGCTGAAAAGGAAATACATCCTCTTTAAACACTACATCTCTGCTGATGTGAAGTTCTTTTGTATGAAGCCGAAACATCCTATATCCCTTACGTGTAGCAGAATAACCTAAAAAGACTGCAGGATATGCTCTGGGAGCAAATTTATCAGGTCTTCTAACTGTAATCATATATCCCAATCATCCAAAGACTCTTATGTGCTGCAGAGAAGGTGAATGGCCAAACATGATCTCAAAAGGAGTTTTTTTTGTGAAGAACAGTTGAAGGGAGTCTGTTGATGATGTACATAGCAATATTGACACACTCTCCCCAGAACCATAATGGTACCGAGGTCTGAAATCTGAGTACTCTATCAACCTCCAGAATATACATGTGTCATCTTTTAACAACTCCATTTTGCTGTGGAGTGTAGATGCATGAGCTCTGATATATAATTCCCAAGGATTGTAACAATTCAGTCATATGTGAGTTAAAGAACTCACATCCATTATTAGATCTAAAAAACTTAACAGAGCTTGAGTGGACATTCTTAATCATAGTGAAGAAAGATCTAAGAGTAACAATAACCTCAGCTTTAGTAGGTAAAAGAAAGAGACATGTATACTTAGAACAATCATCCACCAAAGTCAAGAAGTACCTCTTTCCATCATAGGTAGGAACTCTATAAGGACCCCAAATATCACCATGAATTGTATGAAAGTAGAATTTTGACAAGATAAGACTAAGAGGAAATGTTAGTCTTGTCTGTTTAGCTAAAGGGCATAATGTACAATGCTTGTCTTTACTACTACATTCAACAACTTGAAAATCATGAAAACCATTCAGTTTCTTCAAAGTATCTAGAGGTGCATGACCTAATATCTTATGCCACAAAACTACATTCACTACCTTATTATGAGCCTTTATTATATTTATAATGGGTATTGGCCTTGGAACATTCAAAGTTTCTACAATTGGACTTTGACTTTGTGCTTGTAGTGCTACTGACCTTTTTTAAGTGGAGTTGAATACATACAATCCATCTTCCTCTCTACCAATCCCCCTCACCTGTCCACTGAAGAGCTCCCCGAAAATGAAGAAATCAGGGAAGAACATAACAACCTACCTCATTTCTTTGTGAGCTTGGACACAGATAAAAGGTTATAATTGAAGTCAGGAATATGCATCACATTAGACACTATTAGGTCCTTAAGAATATAAGCAGACCCTATGTGACTAACATGAGCTACACTACCAGTAGGTAAGTGCACATTTCCACCTTTATCACCAACAGTTTTAGCATTAACCAACAAGTTAGAATCATTCACCATGTGACTTGAATCCCTTGAGTCTACAATCCATTTAGCAACAATTTTAGTAATATCGCCATATAATGGAATACATGATGCCATAGCAGAACTACTGCACTCAGGTTGCTTTCCCTAGAAGTTGAAGAATCTGATAGTACTGCTCTTGAGTAAATTGAGGAATTCCAGCTTGGAAGTTCTGACTTGCTTGTTGCATCTGTGAGATTCCTGCAAAGTTAGCAGTACATCCTGCTTGTGCAGGGCCAGTGGAAGTATCAGTTATATAGTTGCCAATATTGGTCTGAGCATAGTTAGCTGTATTACCAAATCCACCCTTCTTCTTTGGCTTAAAATCTGGTGGATATCCATTCACTTTGTAACAAGTTTCCCTAGTGTGACCTTTGAAGTTGCAATAATCACAATTTAGATTATTTTTTCTGGGCCTGTAGCTGGGACTAGGGTGATTACCACCTCCAGAATGACCATAGCCAGCACCTGCATTTCCTTTTCTATTGAACAAAGCTGTCACCTCATTTCCCAAGAAGTTGTAATTTTGCCCAAGGTTTCCTTTTGCATTCAACTGAACTGAAGCTCCAGAGGATGCTCCCTTATTACTGAATAAGGTTGTGCCTTTATTGATTTTAGATACTTTAGAGGAATGGGGCATTACTCTTCTTCTTTCTTTAGATATAATCATTGAGTAAGCTTTGTTAATGGAGGGCCTAAGAAACATGTTCAAGATCTGATTGCTTGACTGAGAGTATGTCTCATTTAGGCCCATGAGAAACTGTAGTAGCCTTTGGTACTCAAAGTGCTCAACCATTAAATTTGTCAAATGTCTCTTTGAGATCCATCCACACCTTGTTAGCACTCAAAGCATAGACCATGCCACTCAACAATTCAACACTCACAGAATTCATAATCCACGATAGAACTATAGCATTATATTTTTCCCAAAGTTCATGAAGAATAGGAGGAAACTTCTCTTTTGGATACCTTCCATATACAAACCTTAGCTTACTTTTTCCTAACAAACTAACTCGCATAGTACTACTCCACAGAGTGTAATTCTCACGTCCTGTGAGCTTGACAGAGATGAGAGAATTACCTGGAGTGTCGCTGGGTTGCAGAAACAAAGGATGATGCTGATCGATCACTAGTGCTCCAACTACAGCTCCCGAAGTCGATCCATTATCCTCGTCAGTAATATCCATTATCAATGGAAATCTAGCTCACACAAATGATGTACACAACAGATATCAATTGCTCAAAATTGATCTAATCCTAACCTTTTGGAATCGAAGCAATTGCTCAGTTCAAATGAGTGAGTAACAGAGAAAATTGAGGATGATTAATCTAGAGTTTAAATCGAGTGATGTAGATCGTTAACTCGAGCTTTGATACCATGATGAACTCTAGATTCTACTCTTAGCTATATCGATGAAAGCTGAGAAGAAGCATAGGAAAGCAAAGGAGCAGTTGTGCTCTTGTTACTGTATAACTGCATAACAAAAAAAAGGAAAGCTACTGTACATTTATACTACTAAACTACTTAACCGCCTAACTCTCTATTGCTTAACTCCTAACTACTAACTAACCACACTACTAACTTATTAAATATAATTAGTTGTACATAGCTGTCAATAGCTCTTGGTTCAACACCCCTCCTCAAGCTGATGGTTGAAAGATATCTTTCAGCCTCAGCTTGGACATTAAGTAGTCATGCTGCACTCGATCAAGGCTCTTTGTTAGGATATCAACCTGCTGCTCTTTGGTAGACACATGATATGTTTTGATCAGTCCTTGTACTATCTTCTCGCGAATAAAATGGCAATCAATATCGATGTGTTAGGTCCTTTCATAAAATATAGGATTGACTGCTATTTGGATAGCACCTTTACTATCATAATTAAGGGTTATAGTTTACTCAATTTCCATACCTAACTCCTTGAACAACCCTGTAAGCTAGGTAAGTTCAGCAACTGCTGAAGCAATGCTCCTGAACTCTGCCTCTGCAGAGCTTTTAGTCATTGTTTCTTGTTTCTTTGATTTCCACGAAATCAGTGCATCCCTAAACTTCACCAAGTAGCTTGTAACTGATCTTCTGGTCTGCAGTCAACCTCCTCAATCTGAGTCGCAAAATCCTTCTAGTTTTCCTGAGCCTACAGATGGTGTTAGAAGACCAAGTCCCAGAGAACCTTTGATATACTTACCACTCGTAATGTAGCTTCCATGTGTGACTGCTTTATTTTGTGCATGTATTGGCTTAGAACTTGCACTACATAAGCAATATCAACTCTAGTCATTGTGAGGTAGAGTAATCTGCCTATCGGTCTTTGGTATTTTCTAGCATCAACTAGTAACTTGTTCATCT